ATATATATATGTATATATATATATATATATATATATATATATATATATATATATATGCTTTCTAGAGGCTCACTTGGAGTCATCAGCAACAAATGCTTGAAAGAAAGCGAGGCCTAATGCGCCTGCGAGCTGTAGGAGCATGAGCATAGCTACAGAGAGGTGAAAGCCCGGAGACATATCGGGGTGTGAATGAAAGGTAAACACCCATCTGCCTCCGAACGCAAGAAAAAACAAAGATATTAACGCAATAGATAGGGTCTTTAAAGCAAATGAAGCACGTAAAAGTTTTGTTGTTAATAAAGATATTAAAGGGGTATGCTCTTCTCCTCTTGGAGACGGTTCTTCTTCTTGCTGCTGATCTATCATCATACGATCTGTAAAAGGAGACAGCTGCCGAGACACTGCATGCTGCTCTACCACCGCATCGTCTCCGTCTACACCCAAGCTAAACATTGTCTTCCTTCTCTCCTGCTCCTGCTGCTGCTGCTGCTGCTGCTTGTCTTTTTGTTTTGTTTTGCTGCTGTTTATTTATCAGAATAGAGATATATAGATATATATAATATATATATCAATATTAAAGATGTACAGAAGAATAAAGAAGAGCTAGTTCCCTGCGTGCATATATGTCTGTATAGATTTATATTTATATATAGATGTCTGTGTATTTAAAAACAAACAAAGCCTGCAGCAAAACAAACAAACAAACAAACAAATATATAAATAAATAAATAAATAAGCGCAGTGTACATACACCGCAGCCGCAAGCATAAGCCCCTCAATCTAAGTAGCTTCTTCAGCATTGCTCTGACCAAAAAAGAAAAAAACACCGAGTTTATATTATTCTTTATCTTTTTATTTCTTTTAAAGTCTACATGCAACCCCCAAAGAGACAAACAAACAGCTGCTCGCCCAGCAGCAACTACCGGCTCGCTGCAGCAGCAAGGAGAGCATTCTTTGATTTGTTTGCTGCAAGCTAGCCGATAAATTCAAAGTAAAAAGGTTTAAAGGAGACACTTAAATTATTATTTTGCTTTAATTTTGAAGAAGAGAGCAGCAGCACACCCGGTGAGGCGCCCGGGTCGGCAGCGGGCCTGTCGCTGCTGCTGCTGCAGCAGCAGCAGCAGCAGCAAAAAGAAGTGAAGAACATCATTTAAGAGAACATACCTGTAAAGAAGATTCTTGCGATATTTAGGAAATAGAGAAAGGCGTTTAAAACCCAACAGAACAAACCCTCAAGCAGCACAAACAAGAGCTGCTGCTGCTGTCTGTCTATCAGAGCAGCAGCAGCAGCAGCAGCTGCTGCTGCTGCTGCTGCTCTGTAACGCCGCCTCCGCTGCTGCTGCTGCTGCTGCTGCAGCCTGCTGCGGGCCCTCCCGTACAGCTGAGGTAGAAGAAGAAGTAGTTTTTATTTAAGGTTTAGGGTTTATTATAAATAGTATTTGTATTTACAAAATAAAATATAACAGAAACATAAAATGCAGCAAGCAAGAGACAGTGCAGCAGCAAACACCAAAAGAGAGGCCCATTGGACAGCCAGAGGAGACACCTGAAGCTGCTGTCTCCTCCTTCCCTTCTTGTTTGATTTTTCTGTTTGTTTTTATAATCTTTAATCGAAAAAGAAGAAAAAAAGACACATTAAATCTGCTGCTGCTGCTGCTACTGCTGCTGCTGCTGCTGCACTGCAGCAGCAATAGCTGCACGGGGAGACCGCCACAGCCAGGAGACTGTAAGGAGACAACAAAGAGGCATCCTTCGAAGTGTCTCCTTTCACCTCCTCTCAGTCTGTCTCTCTCAAATAAACAAAAGAGAGACAGAGAGAGATCTGCTGCTGCGCTTTGGTCTCCTTCTGTTGCTGCAGCAGCAGCAGCAGCAGCAGCAGCTGCTGTTGCTGCTGCTGCTGATGCGTGATAAATAGAGGCAAAGCGGAGGAGAGGCAGGGAGGAGACAGTTAAACTCACCAAGCATGTAGAGACAGAAGGAGACAGAGGCACAAAGACAGAGAGAGACAGAAGGAGACAAAGAGAGACAGAAGGAGACAGAAGCAGCCAGCAGCAATAAATCAATAAATAAATCAGCATTAGCTCCTTACCTATATACCCACACCGCAGTACTGTCTCCTTTATCTGTCTCGTAGGGAGACAAACGGAATCAGCAGCAGCTGATGCTGCTGCTGCACTTGCTGCTGCTGCTGCTGCACTTAGTGCTGCTCCTACTGCTCTACTTGTTGCTGCTGCTACAGCACGAGCTGTTCCTGCTGCTATAGAAGCCGTTGATGCTGCTGCAGTAGCTGCTGCTGCAGTTGTTGCTCTCCCTGCAGCCGTTGCTATTGCTGTTGCTGCTGCTGCAGCTATTGCTGCTGCTGCTGCTGCACTGACTGTTGTTGTTGCTGCTGCAGAAGAAAGGAGACACTTGCGTCTGCTGCAGGGTGGGGGGTTGAGGTGTCTCTTCGTGGCTGTTTACTGTCTCCTTTTTGTTTGTTGTGAAGACATGTTTGCTGCTGCATCAATTTGAATTCTTTTCTTGTTTTGTTTGTCTCTAATAAAAAGGCATCGACAACCAAGAAGAGACAATTTTAACTGTCTCCTTCTCGCTTGCATGCAGAGGAGACAGCACAATGTACGAAGAGCGGTATCATTTTTACTGTCTCCTTTTGTCTTCTCGTGTCTCTCTTTTATCTCTTTTTATCTCCTTTGTGTCTCTTTCTTTCCTTTTCTTTATTTTTGCCGTTTTGTTTATTTTTTGTCTCCTTTTGTCTCCTCTCTGTCTTTTCCTGTCCCTTCTTAAGTTCTTTTTCGTCTCCTTTTGTCTCTCAGTTGTTTCTTTTTTAAACATTTTGTGCTTCTTTCCGCCTCTGGTTTATCGCTTGTTGTCTCCTTTTTGTTTTTTTTTGTTTCTTTAGTCCTTTATGCTCCCTGTTGTCTCCTTTTTGTCTCCTTTTGTCTCTCTTTTGTCCTTGTTGTCTCCTTTTGTCTCCATTTGTTGCTGTTATTTATCCTTTGTATTTCTTTCTGTCTCTTTTTTGTCTCCTTTTTGTTTCGTTCTTTGACTTTTTTCATCTTTTCTTTTGTTTGCACTCTTTGTGTCTCCTTTTGTCTCTTTTGTGTCTCCTTTTGTCTCTTTTATGTCTCCTTTTGTCTCTTCTCGGTCTCCTTTTGTCTTACTCTTGTCTCTTGTTGCTGCAGCAAACAACCCTTGAAGCTGGGTGTAGGCAAGAGAGAGACAGCTTCTTTTGTCGTTATTAAAAAAGGAGACAGCTCCTTCTGCTTCATTAAGAAGAGGAGGCAGCTTACCTTTGAGAAAGAAGAGACAGCTTCTTCTGTCTCCTTTTAAAAGAAGACACAGCTGCTTTTGTCTCCTCTTAAAAAAGAGCAGCTTCTCTTGTCTCCTTTTGAAGGAAGGGACAGCCGCTTCTGTCTCCCTTGTAAGGGGACAGCTTCTTTTTTCTCTTTTAAAAGGAGACAGTTTCTTCTGTCTCCTTTTAGGAGACAGCTTCTTTTTTTTGTGTTAGCAGGAGACAGCTTCTTGAATATATATTTTAAAAGAAGAGACAGTTTCCTCTGTCTCCTTTTAAAAGGAGACAGTCTCTTGTGTCTCCTTTTAAGAGGGGACAGCTTCTTCTGCTTTATTTAAAGACAAGAGAGCTTAGTCTTTTTAATTTTTAAAAAGGAGACAGTTTCTTTTGTCTCTTCTATACAAGCCCGACCGTTGGAGCTGTCTCCTCTTGCAGCTGTCTCCTCCCCAGCTACTGGAGGGCAGATTAATAAATAAAAGCCTCACAGACACCCCAGCTAAAGCATCCCCTGATATAATCTAGCAGCTAAGCAGCAAGTAACAGCAGCAGCAGCAGCAGCTGCTGCTGCTGCTGCTGCTGTTGTTTTTGTGTGCTGCAGTCTCCTGCGGCGCCGACAGAGGAGGAGGGGCCCCTATTGTGTGTGTATGTGTGTGTGTATAGGGTTATATATATCTTTATTAATTTATTATTTTTATTTAAATAAAGATAAAATAAAAATAAAAAGTCTCTAGCTGCGATGCAGGCTATTGGGGTGTATACACAACGCCTTGCTGCGCCCCCCACCCCACACCAGTGCAGCAGATATTAAACATCTTTGTTTGTCTGCTTGTTGCTGCAATTAAAGTAAAATAAAAAAGAATAAATACAATAAATATCATAAACAAGAAAGAAAAACTTTAAAACAAAGCCCTTAGACTCTAGGGTTTAGGGTTTAGGGTTTAGGGTTTAGGGTTTAGGGTTTAGGGTTTGTGTTGAGGGGGGTTGTAGGGCCTACACACTGAGGCGTGGGGGTTTGTGTGTGCGGTGTGTATAAACAGCTGTTATTTTTTATTCTTTCGCTTGTCTGATTATTATTATCTTTTTAATATTAAACAAACATTAAAATTAAACTAATTAAGCCTCCTACACTCTTCTTAACGTGGTTATTCAGCGTAGAAGCCCCTCATTCTTCAGCTGCCTACGCACCCCCCCAGCCCCCAGCTAGAGAGAGGCAGCAGCAGCAGCAGCAGCAGCAGCTTCGATAGGGTTTTGCTGCTGGTGTTTGTTGTTTTTAGGGTTTAGGGTTTAGGGTTTAGGGTTTGTTGGTGTAAAGGACTCAATTATATGCGCTGTCTTTGTTTTTCTCCCGCTGGGATTCTCTCTCTGCTGTCGCCTCCAGCAGCAGCAGCAGCAGCAGCAGCAGCAGCAGCTGCAGCTGCAGCAGCAGCAGCAGCAGCAGCAGCAGCAGCAACAGCAGAAGATAGCAAGGAGAAGGGAGATTCAAAGTTTGAGCTAGAGGAGACACTTAAAGAGACAGGGGACAAGGCCGTGCTGCATTTGCCTGTCTCCTCTGCCTTTACTGTTACAGAGGAGACAGATCTCTCTGGCTCTTCATCTGAGGGTCTGCTGTCTCCTTCTGCTGCTGCTGATGAACAGCAGCAGCAGCAGCAGCAGCAACACTGGGCCCCGTCAACCGACCCGCATCCTTCCGCATGTAGCGGGGATTCCCCCCTTCTTTCTCCTGCTGCAGCAGCAGCAGCAGCAGCAACGGCTGCTGCTGCTCAGGGCACTACGAGCTGCTGCACAGGGCTGCCTCCTTGTCTTGGCGTGTTTGGCGGGGGCTCTTCTGCTGCAGCTGTTGCTAGTGCCTCTCCTCAAGGCCTGCAACAGCAGCAACAGCAGCAGCAGCAGCAGCAAGAGCAGCAGCAGCAGCAACTGCAGCAGCAGCTGCTTCAAAGACACGCTAAAACCCCCCGCCGTAAAGATGCAGTAGACGCAGCAGCAGCAGGGATGAATTGTACCCCGGGTGTCCTTGAGGACACCGGCGACGCATCTGCTGCTGCAGCAGCAGCAGCAGCAGCAGCAGCAGCAGCAGCAGGGGTATACCCCAGGGACGTCGCTACAGACACGCTCTTCCAACATCCTACACCGGACTTCATCGATTACTGCATCAGGAAGCATCTCCCCTCGAACCCTAACCCAGATAACTTGCCAGGTGCTGCTGCTGCTGCTGCTGCTGCTGCCTGCTGCTGTTTGTGCTGCTGTTTATGCTGCTGGAGCTCGTCCTTTTGTTGCATCTGCTGCTGCATTTTAATCTCTTTATGTTGTATCTGTATGTGCTGCTGCTGTTAGATCTGCTGTTGCTGTTTGTTGTGCTGCTGGTGGTGGCTTCGTGGTGTCTGCTTTATGTGTATCTGCTGCTGCATTTTAGCTGCTTTTCTGCTGTAGCTTGATGTGCTGCTGCTGCTGCTGCTTGTGGGCTGCATGCGTGAATGCTGCTGCTGTTTAGGGATTCAACTGGAGAGACAGCAGAAGCGGTGGTGTGCATCTGTCTACTTCCGAGGCAATCAGTTTAAGAAGAGGTTCTCCTCGGGTAGGTGGGGGGCCTTAGGTGCATTTTATGCAGCAATAGAGTGGAGACAGATTCAATGTAAGAAGTTCCAGAGGCTCAAAGCACTGTCTCTGTCTCCTGGGTCTCCTTCATGTGTCTCCCCGTCAGCTTCGCTTGTCTCCCCGTCTTCTTCTCTTCCTTCTTCTACTCCTCCTGCTGCTGCAGCAGCAGCAGCAGCAGCAGCAGCAGCTGGTGCTGGTGGTGGTTGTGGGGGTGGTGGTGGTTGTGTGGCTGCTGCTGCTGTTGCTCCTCCTCCGCTGTCTCCTTCTTCGTCTGTATTTGTCTCTTCGTCTGTCTCTCCACCTTCTTCACTGTCTCCTTCTTCACTGTCTCCTTCTTCGCTGTCTCCTTCTTCTGTCTCTCCTTCATCTTCGCTGTCTCCTTCTTCACTGTCTCCTCCATCAAAAGAACCGATGGTAGGGGCCGCTGCCCCAGAGGCAGATATGTCTTCCGTCCTCAAGCAGCAGCAGCAGCAGCAGCAGCAGCAACAGCAGCAGCAGCAGCAGCAACAGCAACAGCAGCAGCAGCAGCTGCTGATGCTGCTACATCTGCCTTCTTCCCAGGAAGAGGGATTTGTGGGGCCTCCGATGACGTCTCCTGCGGCAATTGCTGCTGCAGCACAGCAGCAGCAGCAGCAGCAGCAGCAACCGCAGCAACAGCAGCAGCAACAGATAAAGCCTCTCGACTGTATGGTGCCTGCTGTATCCCCTCTGCAGCAGCAGCAGCAACAGCAGCAGAACGAACAGCAGCAGCAGCAGCAGCAGCAGCAGGGCGAGACAGAATGGTTGAGCCCTGCAGCACAAAGTGTCTCCTTAGAGGTCTCTCGTCCTCGCCGTAGGAACTGCCGCCGCCGCCAATGGGAGCAGCAACAGCAGCAGCAGCAACAAGAACAGCAGCAGCAGCAGCAACAGGGTGTGTGTGGGGCGTCATCAGTAGGCGTGCTGCAGGTGTCTCCTCCTGCATCAGCTGCTGCACTGTCTCCTTCTCGGGGTGTATCATTAGGGGCTCGTCGTCGTTCAGGGCCTCTTCGTCCTGGAAGCCGCTGCACCGGAGCAGCAGCAACAGCAGCAACAGCAGGAGGTGGAGGGGGAGCAGCAGGAGGAGCCCCTTCTTCTGCTTCTTCTTCTTCTTCTGCTGCTGCTGCTGCTGCTGCTGGGGGGAGACAGGATGACGAGAGGGATCTGTCTATACACCCCCCTGGGGATGAAGAGCTGCGGTGGTTCGACGGCTTCAGGCTGCCGTTCGGCACAGAGGGTAGAAATCAGCTGCTGCGGAGACTGAGGCAGCTGTATCACTCAGATGCTGCTTATTGGGGACAGCAGCTAGAGCAGCATAAAATAGCATTTTCTAGGGTCCCCTTTGCGACTGTCTCCGAGCTCTGGAAGATAGCGCATGTTATGGGGTGCTTTGGATTTGCTTTACATCTTAGTAGAAAGTATGCTGGAGGTGCAGCAGCAAGAGCCGTCGCTCAGCAGCAGCAGCAGCAACAGCAGCAGGTTGCTGCTGCTACAGCTGCTGCTGCTGCTGCTGCTGCTGCAACACCGCAATTACCCCAAAATCATCCTACAGGGAGGGCCCTTTAATATTCTTCAGCATACAACCCTCCTCCTTTATCACCACACACCGCCGCTGCTGCTACTGCTGCTGCTGCTGAGCAGCAGCAGCAGCAGATGCTGCTGCTGCTGCAGCACTCAGCAGCAAACACCGTCCTTTCACTGTCAAAATTCACCCTGTGCAGCACAGGGGGCCCCCTGCCCAAAGCGGCGGGAGACCCCAGTAAGGGGTTATAGGGATGCAGCTGCTGCTGCTGCTGCTGCTGCTTGTGCTGCAGCAGCAGCAACAGCAGCAGCAACAGCAAGAAGCGTGTTATATTCTTCACAAAGGGGATAGTGCCCCTACAGGGAAGAGATGGGAGCCAATGCGTGTACAGCTAGCGAGCTGGCTAGCTATCTCGTCAGCTAGCTATCTAGCTAGCTATCTAGCTAGCTATCTAGCTAGCTGCCTAGCTAGCTAGTTGGCTGGCTAGCTGTTCTCCCTGCTGTGTGTGTCAGTTTGTCGCTCTAGAAACGAGACACTGCTGCCGCAGTGTCTCTTACTTTGTTTGTTGTTTGCTGCTTAGACTGTCTCCTGCTCGCCCGTGGGGGCCTCCTGTGGGGCCCCCTGTGGGGCCCCCTGTGGGGCTGCAAGTGTCTCTAACGTACACTTGAAAGGAGACACCTGGCGTGCTGCGGGCGAGGAGGGCTTTGTCTCTTTCTTGCTGCGGTTGAAGGAGACAGAGACAGGTTCTTAAGCCTGTCTCTCTGTCTCTGTCTCCTGTCTCCGCCTCCAATCCATATATAGGGATGGAGCGAGCCGCAATCCCCCTCCTCGCTAGCTAGCTAGGTAGCTAGCTAGCTAGCTAACTGGCTAGCTAGCTAGGTAGCTAACTAGCTAGCTAGCTAGACAGGCTAGCTGCTGCTTTTCAATGCTGGTGGCCCTGCCCTCAGGGGCGCAGCAGACAACGCCGCCAGCTAGCTACCGGAGCAAGCAGCTAGTTGCACTGTAGCTAGCTAGCTAGCTAGCTAGCGGTGCTTGCAGTTGTTTGCTGTTCAATGGGTTTTGCTAGCTGGGGAGACAGCCGAATTTTGTATAGTCTCATCCTAAGCGCGCAGGGACGAGTAGAGGCAGAGATTATTTAGATAAGGAGACACTTTAAATAGACTGTCTGATTTAAATAAGGAGACACTTTAGATGCATAGGTTGATTTAAATGAGACACTTAAAAAGGATTGGTTTAGATGAGGAGACACTTTAGATGCATAGACTGGTTTAAATAATGAGACACTTTAGAGGGACTTCGGAGACACTTTAAATGATTTAGAGACAATTAAGATAGGGAGACACTTCAAATAGACATCGTTTACATGGAGGAGCGGTTTAGGCAAGGAGACGCTTTAGATAAAGGTAGGATTTAAATGAGAAGAGACAATTTATTAATAAGGAGACACTTCAAATAGACATTCTTTTAAGAGAGACGCTTTAAAGATACGATTTAAACGAGGAGACGCCTTAAAGAAGGAGACAATTTAAGTGGAGACGGGGTCTTAAAAAGGAGACACATTTAAAAAGACTGTCTCCTGAAAGCAGCAGCGGGCGTGCTGTGTCCCCAGAGGGCTGCTGCAGCTCGTCTGCTCAAGATCTCGCTGCTGCTGCTGTTGTTATTGCTGCTGCTGCTGTTGTTGTTGCTGCTGCTGCTGCTGCTGGTGTTGCTGCTGCTGCTGGATCTTGATTTCCCTGGGCAAGGACTTGTCTGCTGCATCCGTGTGCTGAAGCCTGCTGCTGCACCTACTGCTGCTGCTGCTGTTGCTGTTGCTGCTGCTGTTGTTGCTGCTGCTGCTGCTGCTGCTGCTGGGGCCTGATCTCTCTAGGCGGGGACTTCGGCCTTAGGGCTTCAATTTCTTCGGTAGAGCCGAGAAAGCGGCCCCCCATATAAGAAGAGGCCTCTGGGTAAGAAGTGTCTCCTTCAAACCAGGAGGCGTAGCTGAAGAAAAGACAAAAGGAGACAGTTTAAAGGGAGGCAGCTCAAAGGAGACAGTTTAGGAGGAGACAGTTTAAGATGAGACAGCTAAACAGGAGACAGTTTAGAAGGAGACAGCTTAAAAGGAGACAGCTTAGAAGGAGACAGCTTAGGAGGAGACATTGTAAAAGGAGACAGTATAAAAGAAGACAGTTAAAAAAGGAGACAGACTAAGTCGCTCTACTTTCAGAAGACAGTATTGTGGGGAGACAACAACCGTAAAAGGAGACAGTAGAAGGAGACACCATTACGGGGAGACAATCTTTATGAGGAGACAGTTATTACAAGGAGGCCGTCTTTATAAGGAGACAATCTTTATAAGGAGACAGTCTCATAAGGAGACAGTACAGCGGGTGGACAGCATAAAAAGGAGATTGCAGAGCAATAAGGAGAGCGTAGAATAATAAGGAGACAGTAATATAATAAGGAGACAGCATTATAATGAGTAGCCAGCGTAACACTAAGGAGACAGTATAAAAATAATAATATAATGCGACATAATAGTGAGGAGACAGTTGAACAATAAGGAGATAGTAGAATAAAAAGGAGACAGTAGAATAGTAGGGAGGCAATATAATAAGAAGGAGACAGTATAATAATAATGAGATGGTAGAATAAAAAGGAGACAGTAGAATAATAATGAGACATAATAATAAGGGGACAGTAGAATACGAATGAGAGCGTAGATTAAAAAGGAGACAGTAGAATAATAAAGTGATGTGTAAAAAAGTATGTATATATGTTGGGGTGTACGTACAGCTCTGGGGAGAAGTTTGTGTCTCTAATAGCATTACCGATAGTAAGCCAGCCGTCTCTAACATTTCTCTGAAGCCCAAATAACTCTAATCTCTTTCTACCTAAACAAAACCTCTCTATTATATCATATAACTCTTGCGGCTTCTCTGTAGAATAAAAATCTGCAGGCTCCTCCGCTACAATTACATCCGCGTCCAAATTCGCGTGAATCAAATGCCCGTCCTAACACAAACAAATAATATAATTTAATATAATATAATATATTATATTATATACTTATATTATATAATATTATGTAATATAACATTATATAATAGTATACAATATAAGTATATAATATAATATAGTATAATGTAATATAAAATGATATTGTATGCCCGTCCTAACACAAACAAATAATATAATTTAATAGTATATAATATTATATTATATTATATTATATAATATTATATTATAGTATATAATATAATATAATATAATATGCCCGTCCTAACACAAACAAATAATATTATAATAGTATAATGTAATAGAATGCAATATAATATAATATAATATGTCCTTCCTTCGACAAACAAATAATATAATAATAATATTATATTATATTATATACATATTATAGTATTATATAGTATAATATAATGTAATATAATATTATATGATATGATATGTGCGTCCTTCAACAAACAAACAACAATAATGTAATATATATACATAATATACATAATCTATATATGCATATATAAATATATATATTACATATTATATATGAATGTATATAGAACTAATATATATATATATATATATGTATATATATATTATATATATAATATATTATATATAAATATATAAACATACATATATATATATATATATATATACAGATAGATCTGTGCCTCCTTCTGTCTGTTATTTGAATGATTTATTAGTGTCTCCTTTTGTCTTTAAATGATTTATTAGTGTCTCCTTTTGTCTTTAAATGATTTATTAGTGTCTCCTTTTGTCTTTGAGGGGTAAATTACTGTCTCCTTTTGTGCATTTACCTGGGCCCTTCTGACGAGCCCCTTGATACCAACAAGACAATGCTCGGTTGTCCTGTGTAAGTATGAAGACTCATCTCTTAAGACTGAATGAGGAGGGGCTGTCTCCTGTCTCTTGCTGCTGCATGCAGATGCTGTTTTGTTTGTTTTTACCCAACAGATGTCTTCGCAGCGACGGAAACCCCACTGAAAACAAACAAAAACATATATTATATTATATTAGTATATTATATTATATTATATATTGTTATATTATATTATCATATTATATACTATTATATTACTGTATTATATTATATTACTGTATATTATAATATTATATTATATTATATTATATTATATTACATTATTATTATATTATATTATATTATTATATATTATAATAAGACAGCAGAAGAAACAGGTAAGACACCAAAAGGGATAGCTAAGAAACCTAAAAGGAGACGAATAAGAGATTAAAAGAGATGGATGATAAGACATCAAAAAGGAGACAGATAAGACAAGAAAGGAGACAAAAAAGCAAGCAAGAGCTTCACCTTTGTTAAGACATTGCGCGCTTCTTCCAGGTGTTTAACTCCGCACCATAAAAAGCAAAAAGACTGCGACTCGCTAATTTTGTCAATGGGCAGCTGCAGTGTACAGACACCCCAATATATATATATATATATATATATATACAGGAAAGCTGCTGCTGCTGCTGCTGCTGCTGCATGCATGCATGCAGCAAAAGATAAGCAGCGGCATCAACGCAGCAACAGAAACAGCAACAGCAGCAGCAGCAACAGCAGGATCAGCATCATCAGCAGGATCAGCATCATCAGCAGCGTCAGCACCATCATTATCAGCAGCAGCAGCATTATCAGCAGCAGCAGCAGCAGCAGCATTATCAGCAGCAGCAGCAGCAGCAGCATAATACCTGCATAATATCATCTAAGCTCCAGGGCCTTAGATCTTCTGTTGGTTTCTTAGCGCCGATGCATCTCTCTGCATATTCTCCCCAAGGCGGATCCACGAGAATAATATCAAATAAGCACGGTAATATACTCCAGTTGAAGCAGCGTAAGTCTGCCTAGACAATATCATCATCGCAAACATACACTACAATGCATTCATGCATGCATGCGCTGTTGTGTATCCATGCATGCATGCAGTGTTGTGTATGCATGCATGCATGCAGTGTTGTGTATGCATGCATGCATTGTAGTGTATGCATGCATCCATGCATGCAATGTAGTGTATGCATCCATGCATGCAATGTAGTGTATGCATGCATGCATGCATTGTTGTGAATGCATGCATGCATGCATTGTAGTGCATGCATGCATACATTGTAGTGTATGCATGCATGCATGCATATACACCATGCATGCATGCATGCATGCAGCTACATACACCTAAACCCCACACTTCAGAAACAGCAAACCCTAAACCCTAAACCCTCGCGTACCCTAATGCACTGGGCAGGTGTAGCCCTGGCCCTGATGACCTGTCTCTTCAACTCCATCAACTCCTTCAGCCTAAAGATATGTACACCCCAAACCCTAAACCCTAAACCCTAAACCCTAAACCCTAAACCCTAAACTGGGGTCAATTGACCCCACCGAAGTCGCACATGGTCCTAAACCCTAAACCCTAAACCCTAAACCCTAAGCCCTAAACCCTCACCCGTAAATCCAACCCTCCACCTTGTCCCCTCCCCGCCAAACCCTAAACCCTAAACCCTAAACCCTAAACCCTAAACCCTAGGTCTTAGGGAGTCTTTGTGCTTGCCTGAAGTAAGCGTTGAATCTCTTATCTGGTTCTGCGTCTCTAATAAAGTTTTGAGGCCTCTCTCCTGTATTAACAAAGTGCTGAGCATAGTCCAGCAGCAGGCGATCTCTGCCTCTCCTGCCTAATTCGCTGCTCGTCATCTTAACCACACTGCGCTGCTGCTGCTGCTGCTGCTGCTTCTGCTGCTGCGTGCATGCGCCCAGCTGAGATGCAGCAGAACCGCTGCCACTGCTGCTGCTGCTGCTGCTGCTGCTGTGCTTCCCTGCACCGCGCTTCCGCTTCGGGGGGGGGCCCCCATGACCTCCAGAGCGATGACGATTACCCTTACCTTCGCGGGGGGCCCCCTGGGGGCCCCCACCATTTACAAGGCCGCCTGCTGCACCTCGAGACTGCTGCTGCTGCTGCTGCTGCTGTTGCTTCGCTTGCTGCTGCATTCGCTGCTGAAACGCTGGCGGTTGCTGCGCCTGCTGCTGCAGCGCCAGCTGCTGCGGATGCTGCTGCGGTCGATGCTGAGCTCGCTGCTTCTGCGGTGGCTGCTGAGGGGAGGTCTGTCGCTGCTGCTGCTGCTGCACCTGCTGCTGCTGCTGCTGCCCCTGCTGTTGCCCCTGCTGCTGCCCCTGCTGCTGCTGCTGCTGCCCCTGCTGCTGTCCCTGCTGCTGCTGCTTTTGATGTTTGAGCGGCGGTGGAGGCTTTGGCTTAGCTGGAGGTACTGCAGGGGGTACCCGTGGAGTAGCGCGCGCTGCAGCCGTGGGGGGCCCCTTAGGGGGGCCCCCCCCAAGGGGCCCCCCTAAGGGAGGGGGTACAGTGGGGCGAGGGGGCCCCCCTGCTGGAGGCGAGGGGGAGGGGCCCCCCTGTGGGGCCCCTTGTGGGGCCCCCGTACCTTGAGGAGGATTCATACTCGCGACATAGCTTGTGAACCCCCCTGCCAAACCCTAAACCCTAAACCCTAAACCCTGAAGAATGAAGGCTTTCTGTGCGGCTGTAGCTGCCTCTGTAGGTAGAGAAGGGTTGAGAGAGTCCCTAAGAGAGAGGGGCCCCCAATAGGGTACAGGGAGAGGCGCTGGGGGCCCCCACGGAATGAAGATACTGAGAGGCAGTGTATACACCCCAGAACTCGCCACAAACCCTAAACCCTAAACCCTAAACCCTAAATGAGAAGGAGAGATTAAACAGCTAAGGAGACTAAAGAGAGAGCTCAATTTTTAACTTTATAAACAAAGAAGCACTGAGGGGGGCCCTCCCATCAGCTGTACATACACCGCAGCATGCAAGGCGGCAGCGCCCTCCCTCAAACCCTAAACCCTAAACCCTAAACCCTAAACCCTAAAGCCTCAATAATTTTTGGCTATTACTTCACTCTGCTTCTTTTCGTGCAGACTCACACGCCGCCTCGGGCTGCGCCTCCACTCCTTCCGTCCCTAAACCCCAAACCCCAAACCCTAAACCCTAAACCCTAAACCCTAAACCCTAAACCCTGAACTCTAGTCAGCAATCCATAAACCCAGGGTCTTTCCTGTTTGTTGAGCCCGCGTGCGCAACCCTGAAAACCCTAAACCCTAAACCCTAAACCGTCCGCTGCCCCCCCTTGCACCGGCAGTTCTCCAGGCCGTAAAGGCGTAAACCCTAAACCCTAAACCCTCATTGTGCAGGATAAGATGCGGCGGGACAGATCTTGCACGTTAAATGTCTCTTCTTTATCTCGTAATGTTAAGGAAGCACATCTAAGAGAGGTCTTCGGCCTCTTCGGAGTTATACGTTCGTGCGAATTAGCTATAGATAAAAAAGCAGGTATACCGAAGGGATATGCATATGTTGAGTTTGACACTCAAAGAGAAGCAGAGAACGCTCGCAGACATCTTCATGGGGTACCTAAACCCTAAACCCTTTTATTCAACCCTTTTATATAAACCCTAAACCCTAAACCCTAAAATCCCCTTTTAAAACCCTTTCTAACACCCTAAGAAACATATATAAACCCTCATTAATATATCTGGCAGTAAACAACACATAAACCCTAACAAAACCCTAAACCCTTACAAAACCCTAAACCAGGAGATATAACGCATGCAGGCAAGCTTTCCCTTTGGACTCAAATGCTTGAGGGTTTAGGGCTTAGGGTTTAGGGTTTAGGGTTTAGGGTTTAGGGTTTAGGGTTTGCGGCTGCAGGGAGTTCTGGACGGGAAGACGCTGCGGGTGGAGCTCTCTTCGAAGACACACGAACGCCACCAAGGTAAACCCTAAACCCTAAACCCTAAACCCTAAGGAAAGCTGTGTTTTAAGGTTTTAGGAGGAGAGGGGCAGGGGCAGGTCTAGGGCTGCTGCTGCTATTGTTGCTGCTATTGCTGCTGTTGCTGCTGTTACTGCTGCAGCAAAGAAGGAGCAGAAGCAGGCGGAGAGCGCAGCTGGGGGAAGTGGCGAGAGCAGTGAGGCTGCTGCTGCTGCTGCTGCTGCTGCTGCTGTTGCTGCCAGGTGTTGCTGCAGCTGTCAGCTGTTGCTGTTGCACCTGCTGCTGCTGCTGCTGCTTGTTGCTGCAGCACAGATCTTTGTTTGTCTCTTTCTTGCGATCTCAGGGAAGAGAGACAGAACTCGCAGCAGAAGCCCCCAAAGGTATTACAGCTAACTCTAGGGGGCCCCTACAGGGTAGTTTAGACAGGGGCCCCTGTTAGGCCGTTGGGGGCCCTAGGGGCCCCCCTTGCTGCTGCTGCAAGAGCCAGAACGTCTCTTTAGCTCTCTGGAGCAGCTGCATCGACGGGTCATAGCTGCTGCTGCTGCTGCTGCTGCTGCTGCTGCTGCTGCTATGTTGCAGGGCTGCTTCTCCTGAGAAGCAGAAGGAGAGAAAGGCGAGGAGTCGTTCTGTTAGCCGCAGTTAGGGGCCCTCGTCTGCGTTACGGAGCGTAGGGGGCCCCCCTTAGGGGCCCTAATGAGGCAGCCCTGCTCTAGGGGCCCCTCTCTGGGGGCCCCCGCTTAGGGGCCCCGTTCGTTGGGGCCCCCTTTAGAAGCCTTTGGGGGCCCCCAATAGGGACCCTCGGGGGGCCCCCTTTAAAGCCGTCTGGGGCCCCCTTCTTTGGGGGACCCCTTGGGGGCCCTTCTTTGGGGGCCCCTCTCTGGGGGCCCTTCGTTTGGGGGCCCCAAGGGCCTGTTATTGGAGTTGAGGGTAGAAGAGTTAAATTTGTTTATTAGAGGGTCGGGTATATTCAGAAGATGTCTTTGTTTGTCTGTCTCTTAAGAACCTGAGATGGACTCTGGGGTTGTTGAGGGCCCCCAAAGGGTACGGGGGCCCCTAAGGGCACAGAGTTGTACCCTAAAGAGGGGGCCCATAAGGACAGAGTAGTACCCTTAGGAGGGGGCCCCTAAGGACAGAGTAGTACCCTCAAGAGGGGGCCCCTGCGGGCACAGAGTAGTACCCTTAAGGGGGGGCCCCTAAAGGTACACAGGAGTACCTTTAAGAGGGGGCTCCTGCGGGCACAGATTAGTATCCTTAAGAGGGGGCCCCTAAGGGCACAGAGGAGTACCCTTAAGGGGGGGCCCCTGGGGGCCCCCAGGGGCACTGGGTACCCTTAAGAGGGGCCCCCCAGGGCAACAACACCCCTGTGGATAGGGAAGGGGCCCTTCATTTGTGCTTATGAACATCTGAGGCCTGTAAATATTATTATTTTTGTCTCGTATACAGCAGCAATTAGTTACGCTTTGTCTTTTCATGTGTCTCCTCTCGGTGTCTCCTGTCTCCTTTTGTCTCCTCCTGTTGTCTCCTTTGCCCCCTGGTGTCTCTCATTTATATCTATATCTATATCTATACCTATATCTACATCTATATATCTATATCCATATCTATATATCTATATCTATATCTATATCTATATCTATATCTATATCTATATCTATATCTATATCTATATCTATATATCTATATCTATATCTATATCTGTATCTATATGTATATCTATATCTATATCTATATCTATATCTATATCTATATCTATATCTATATATCTATATCTA